TCTGTCTGTCTGTCTGTCTGTCTGTCTGTCTGTCTGTCTGTCTGTCTTTGAAATTCAAAGTATTCACTTCCTAAATGGACAAAGGGAAGGTAATATGAACACCAACAAAAAACTCGATCAATAGCACCATTTGACCCGAATGTGTATACTAGTATAAAAAAGCCTAAATATAAAGTGTGCAATGTGCTTATGTGCAAATAGTTTAGTTCTGAATGTGTACATGAGTTTGATCACGATCCTCCTTGCCCCAGTGCAGAGTTGTAGTCTTATGGCCGGGGGACAAAAGAGTCCTTAAGTCTGTTTGTGTTACAGTTTAGATCCAGCCTGGTGCTCAACACACTCCTCCGTCTGATCAGAGTCTGGTGTCGTTGGGGTTTTGTGTTGTCCAGGATGCCTCTCTGCCACCTACACCAGGGAGTCCAATACTCTGCCCTTTTTTTTTTAATGCAGTCTCTCAGAAATCAAAGACAGACAAAAAGCCTATATTTCAAGCATAAAAACAAACAGACAAACAATAAATAATAATTTTGTGTTCTCCACACAGGTCGACATTTCCTCCCAAAATGCAAAGAAGAAGCCACGCGTGAGCATAACCCAGAAACAGCACAGTTTTAGTCAGGCTAAAGTTATTTTAGATCGGGTGGCTGCCTATGTTCTTGTATATGTTAGCATGACATGCTGAAACCCATTCTGCATTTAATACAAAAGCGTGAGGGATCCTGGAGCTGCAATGTTCAGATCCTACACCAAATGATTAGATTTGTTGGCATCATGAAAATGCAAAACACAACAAAGTATAAACAGGAGAGGCGCACATTTATATTTGAATATAAGAATGGGACATCATTGTTCTAATAAAGTTTTAGGACGTGATCTCATCCATTCCCAGAACTATACTGCACTGGACTCATCACATTTCTGCTCTGTCTAGAATAAGATAGTGGATTAAAAGATGTGACTTTCTTTACATTGCACACAACATCATACCTTTTTGGAACTGCATTTATATGCAATCATCTGTAAGCTTTAATACACACCAGAAACCATGTCAAAGAGGCTTTATTTAAAAGTTTTTTACCAAAGAGATTAAAATGGAAAGTTACCCTGCTGTAGCTTGATATTTTTGACGGGACGCCACAATAATCCCAAGAGTCTCAATTTGCGCACCAATGCTTTACATATTTTTTGTCTTATCTTATAGTTCTAAGCAGTTTCCTCCATAGTGAGCTTATTTCTTATCATTTATTTGATGTTTTTTTTTAGACAGTTGATCACAAAATATTCAGTTGGGGGTAGGAACATGAGAGAATGATGCTTTCAGATCTCTAACGTGAGAAAAAATATATATTTCTCTTCCTTTTCTGAATATAAACTGGCACTATTTGCTGTAAATATGATGCATGGCTTGAATTGCAGAAATGTCAGCCTTGAACCCTCAGAATGAAGATTTTAAACTTTTCTTTTTGTGAAATATTTAGTAGGTTCTCCTCTTTTGTCCTCTAAAAATCCTTAGTTAAATTTACTTTGATGTTAAAAGGGAAAATCTGTCTTTAGTAGAGATGTGAAACCTCTGAACGGTTGTTTAAAAATGCAGTGTTTTGTGAGATTTTCATATTTCTTAATGTAAATTCTGTATCAGGTCATGGCCACTGCCTCTGGGTTTTCTCTTGTTCAAACTTTCCATTTTTCTCATTTTCTCACTTTGTTGTTGTGGAGTTGGATGTTAATTTGACATGTGTCTCTTGACTGCTTTAATAGTTAATGTCATGATTCAGCTTTTGATATCAGATTTAAAAAAAAAAAGGTAATACACTAAGTAACAAAACAGCAAAAGCATATACAGTTGTTCTTGTTCAATCAGAGACATCTTTGAATGGCATAATGTTTGGTCTTATTCATTTCAAATCTGAAATGCATCATGCATCCTTTTTACATTTAGTTGCTTTCAATTGATAACAGCAATGAAAGAGCAAAACGTTTGTTTGCTTTTGGGAACACCTTTTATCAATCCTGTAGGTAATTATTACAGATTTATCTCTTGGCTTTTATTAACATGAAGTGGAAGAGTCTGTTCTGTATCAGCAACCCGTTTGCTTCAATTTTATCTCCCATATAAATACACAAAAGCTAAAATTCTGTCTTTTACAATAGAAAAATGTGGCTACTGAGGCAATTCAGCAATATTGAAGCACAAAGCACATCTCAATGCACGATCCCATTTCAGAAAAAAATAAATCAATTATTTATTAAACATCACAACAGACAACAACAAAGCGATATAGGTTGAGTTTACTGACATAAAAATCCATTTTGATGATCACAAATTGTTGCAATAAAAGCAAGTCAGATTATGTCAGAAAGCCGTTATTTAGAAGTGTTTGGTTATTCTCATCTTCATTATTAACAATTTCTACCTGTAGAAAGTTATATAACTACATCCCTTATTTAGTTGTTAGATACAAGAATACTCAAAGGATACATTTCAACACAAGATAAAGCTGCGGTTTCATATTTAGAACACGTTTTGTGAGTTTTCCACACACACATTTATTTAACAACAATCTACCACACGCCAAAAAACAGTTTTTGTATTTTTGAAAGTTACACTGCTTAAAGATCTCCTCATGAGGTTTAGTTTTAGAATCAAACTTAACATGGGGATTAAACACATGTATTTTAATTAAGTATGAAGGGCTGGGTCATTTAAAGGCAAAAGATCACTTATACAAACATGTTCAGTGTTTTTGTTCATTATTAATGCACCCACACAAAATGACCTGAATCACAAGCCCCCAAATTCACTTTGTCTGAATTAACGGTAGATATTTGCTTGATTTCAAGGTTCCAGTATAGCAGATCTAAGGAATCCAACTGAAAAAAACTCTGACTTTTCACATGGTTACTCTATGGGGCGAGTGGTTGGTTTATTCTTTCACTTTCACCTGTTCCTTTGTGTTAACTTGTCGATCGTATATCTTCAAGTGAAAAAGTCTTTGGAAATGGCTTCCACGAAATTGGAAATTTTTGTGAGTTTTCCACACACACATTTATTTAACAACGATATACCACACGCCAAAAAGTGTTTTTGTATTTTGGAAAGTTACACTGCTTAAAGATCTCCTCAAAAGGTTTAGTCTTAGAATCAAACTGGACATGGGGATTAAACACATATATTTTAATTAAGTGTGAAGGGCTGGGTCATTTAAACCCCTGACTTGTCACATGATTACTCTATGGGGCGAGTGGTTGGTTTGAACTTTCACTCTCACCGGTGCCTCTGCTGTTTACTTGTCGATCGTATATCTTCAAGTGAAAAAGTCTTTGGAAATGGCTTCCACAAAATTGGAAATTTTTGTGAGTTTTCCACACACACATTTATTTAACAACGATATACCACACGCCAAAAACTGTTTTTGTATTTTGGAAAGTTACACTGCTTAAAGATCTCCTCAAAAGGTTTAGTCTTAGAATCAAACTGGACATTGGGATTAAACACATATATTTTAATTAAGTGTGAAGGGCTGGGTCATTTAAACCCCTGACTTTTGACACGATTACTCTATGGGGCGAGTGGTTGGTTTGAACTTTCACTCTCACCGGTGCCTCTGCTGTTTACTTGTCGATCGTATATCGTCAAGTGAAGAAATCTTTGGAAATGGCTTCCACGAAATTGGGCGCCGACATGAGGATGCCGATGGTGCAGAGGATGGTGAAGAGCGAGAAGGCCATGAGGCAGAGCCGGTCGATGACGGAGGCGGCGAACTTCCACTCGTTGCACACGCTCTCGTCCTCGTCCTGGTCGCGGAAGCGCTTGGCGATGTAGCGCACCTCGTCCAGGATCTTGGCCAGCTCCAGCTCCAGGTGGACGGCGGGGGGGCCGTGGCCCGGGGGGGGCATCAGCAGCTCCTCCTCCCCCCCGGGGCGGCCCAGCAGGCGCCCGCAGAGCACGCCCGAGTCCGGGGAGGTGGCGGCCGTGGAGCTGTGGAAGCTCTCCAGGCCGCGCACGCCCACGTAGAGCATGTTCCCGTTGGCCGACTGGGCGGCGTTGAGCTCCACGCTGGTCAGGCTGCCCCGCCGGGTCTTGGTTTGACAGGCCGACCGCACCCGGTCCTCACCGGGACGCTTCATGCGCAGGAACCAGGCGCACCAGTTCAGCAGGATCACGCGGGTCTTCAGGAGGAAACAAGAACCAAAGCACTCGTTTTTAGATTAAAGGAGACATATTATACCCTATTTCAACAAGTTAAAGTAGGGGAGCAGATCTAATTTAGTCTGACATTGTCTAACGCCGTCATTCCTGGTTAATGTGCCGGGGGATTTATTTGTTTGGGTGTTCCGTGTGGTTTTCTGCCAGGGTTACTGCCTCCACTCCCACTGCTCAGAGCTCTTAGCGCCTGGGAGCAAAAGCCTGCCGCGTTTAGGCCTTAAAGGAGACATATTTTACCCTATTTCAACAAGTTAAACTAGTTCCCTGGTGTCCTGATGTAATGTCTGTGACAAGCTTTGGTTAAAATCCCATAAGGATGAAGCCCAATAGCAACCAAAACACTCGTTTTAGATTAACCCTTTAAAGCCCGATCCAAGAATAAAACAAAACACAAAATTACTTTTTTTTGGTTTGAAGTCCTTATTGGGCCTTTTAACAAAATATGTACAAAGAAATAACAGAAATACATTTTTTATATTAATAATTTATTACTATGCGATAAGTCAAGATTGTTTTTTGTGTAGTCTTCTGCCCCCTGTTATCAGGTGTATCTGATTGTGTACAATAGGATTTTGAGCAAAGTTTTTTACTATCAAATTATGCAAAAGGTGTCAGACGCAAAACATTTCAGAAACCGCATCAAATATGATACATTTGGAATTACAGAGTTAAAGGAGACATATTATATCCTATTTCAACAAGTTAAGCTAGTTCCCTGGTGTCCTAATGTAATGTCTGTGACAAGCTTTGGTCAAAATCCAATAAGGATGAAGCCCAATAGCAGTTCAGTCCCCCTGCTTAACCCTAACCCTAACCCTAACCCTAACCCTAACCCTAACCCTAACCCTAACCCAAAACAGCCCCGTTCAGAGCGCTCGCTTTGGAGTGCCTGTCTCTTTAAATGCAAATGAGACACAGGCAATCCACCCACTTCTTCCGGGAGGTGTGCCCACGTCGGCGCGCTAACGCTACCATGCTAACGCTACCATGCTAACGCTACCATGCTAACGCTACCATGCTAACGCTACCATGCTAACGCTACCAGGCTAACTCTACCATGCTAACGCTCACGCTACCACGACGTCTCCACAGATAGGGGAGTAAGCTGAGGGGGGGGGCAACATGCAGGTGAAAGGCTGGAATATTATAATGAGCTAGAGCTAATGACGTCAGAAACTACCCACTCCTGAAACCTCCTGATTTATCTCCTGGATTCAGACTGAGGTAGCCCACAAAAACATGACAGAGTCATTTTTTTCACACTTTGCCTGCTGATAAGCACTCCACAGTCCCAAATGTACATAATCAAATGATTAAAAACTTGGTTTTGCTTAATATGTCCCCTTTAAACCCAAAACTTTAGAGCAAGGACCAAGGCAACTGGACCGGTTCCTGATTTAACCGGCCTTGGCTCTCCTTTTATTAGCATGGCCTGGCTGACATATTTACATAGATATTTCAAAAGAAAACATCATATATCTCAGAATAAGCTCATCTCTTTTTAAAAAAATAAATAAAATCTAATTAAAAAGGAAGTCTGGGTTAATATCTCAACAGTTCTCCAGTCAAAACACATCAGCCTGAGGCTTCCAAAAGCTGATTACAACTGACAAAACCTTTCAGGTGAGAGGTGAAATGTCTTCATGAATCCGGAGGAAAATCTGGCTGCCTTTGTTCAGACTCTGAGGACCACCACGACCTGGCAGGCTTCTGTCTAATTTGTTTTGCTCGTATGAATTTTCTACTTCAGACAGTTGCTCAACTCGTCAGCAGGCCGGAATAAAATGTTGTGATATTCTGTGTCTAATTGGTCCTCTGGTATTCATTGGTTTGTGTGCACGGACTTTTCAAAGTTTTTAGTGTAGCTGAAAATAAATCCACGGATGGTAATACATCGGACAGTCACTCAACACAATGTTTTTGCATTATTTTTGTTTTAATTCGTGGCACTTTATTCTCTCCCTGTGCTTTTAGCGCGTTCCATTTATTCTGTTCGTGTTGTCTGACATAATTTCACACCTGATGGGGTTGCTGCAGACCAAATTTCCTCTCGGGGAAAAAAAAATAACGAGCCTAACCTTGAGTTTTTTCATTGTGTTGCCATACCAGGAGACCTCATTGTGCGGGAAACACTGGCTCGGCTCACAAGCAAATGCAAAGCACATTCAGACATTCAAACACAAGGTCCCCCACAGCTCTGCTTTGAGGCTAAAACATAAATTACCAGAGTAATGACACCGTACAATCAGTGAGAAGTAATAATGGTAAAAAACTGAACAACACATACCCACTTTGGCATCTTGCCTCCGTCGGGGTCGTGGTGGTGGTACTGGAGCACCAGCACAGTGGCAATAACAGACAGCCCGACTATGACCATGGTGGTGGCAAAGTACTCAGCTGCGTGATGAGGGAGAGGATTAACAATCCGAAATAAACACACAGAGTTGTGTCAGACAGTGTAGAACACAGAATTAAAACATATATATATCAGAAACGTTTTAGGCCAAATTGAACAGAGAAAAATCAAAGTCACGAAAAAAACATTGATGAACCAAATTTAGCAACAATAAGAGGTTTCCATACTGTAAAGTGACTTGACACAAATATTGGCACTCTCAAGATATAATCAAATTAGATCTTCCAACAAGAAAAACAACTGGACTCATCAATGTTTAATCATCTCAACCTTTCAATAAATTAACAAATGTTTTTACCCAAAAATGTTAAAGCTTCCTTTCAAAGCATGGAAACCTAAATGTTGTCGCCTTTAACATTTTAAAGTGTCAAATTGATAGGGGAATCGGATTAATAGGGCATTTCAGAAAACATTATCACTGCCCATTAGTTGGATGATGATCAATATGAAAAGAAAAAGAAAAGAAAAAGGAAAGTTTCAACAGCCTTGTAAGTTTTAATTTAAATCGCATGGCAGTATCTACACAAAAGATTTGGAGACTATCATGCCTCAGAAATATAAACACTGCTGTAAAGACTGACAATTGAATTACACGTTCAAACTTTAAAAATTGTTTATTTCCTTGTTTTCTGATTATATTCAAATGCTGATTATATTCAAATTTCCTGGGCTATGTTTTCTATTTCAATAAAACCAGGGTGACTCAGATCTCTGAATCGAAAAAAGTGAACGCGAAATGGCTGCTACACTGTAATATTAGAGAATGCGTCAAATGAAATGACAACTGGATGTTTTCTTTCCACCAGCACGTTTCCGGTGATAGCGTTTGACAAGCACAGCAACTGCTTTTTACTCCACCAAGGCTTACCTATCAAAGGCACAGAGTCTGATGTGGCGGGCATAATCTCTGCAACCAGCAGCATGAAGACGGTTAGAGAGAGTAGCACTGTGATGCCTGCAAAGACAGAAAAACTCAGTGAGTGAAACAAAAAAAAACCTTAAAAGCATCTGAGAGGTTATCACGTCTTAAAGCCTTATGTTTTATTTCAAGAAGTTATGTTGCCCCCATTATTCTTTGCTTTATTCAACCTTTGCTGCAGCTTTTTCCCTGCTTTACATACTCAAATGTTAAGAGGAATACTAAAATAACATAATAATGGTGGGGTTAAAGCTTCCTTTATCATAGCTGCAATTTAAATCACCAACAAGTCCAACAAATGAGGACATGCCTGGTGTAATTTTTCTTATGCAAACCTCCCCCGGAAGATTTAATGCTGTGATGACAGCTCGTGAAGTTGTTTCTTATATTTGTAGACTGTGGAGGAACATTTTAATTCCTCCCAGGGGGACATGTAAAAGTCTAAATAGTGGACGAAGTTGACCCTTGTCCTGTAACTTGGCAACCACGCTGTTAATTTTTCATGTGACCGTTTGGTTCGATGAGCTTCTACCATTGAATTTTTTTCTGCTAGGTGAGTTTTGACAAACTTCACAGTAAAGTCTTTGTAACTGATTGGTAAATGGGTATAAGGACATTGTATTACAGGATCAATACAACATTTTCATTTGTGTTTTGTTGCCATCTTGTGAACATGTTTGGCCTCATTTGCAAACAAAGGCGTCTTATTGTTTCTGGGGCTCTGTGCCGTTACCTAACTGGGTTTCTCAACGGGCTTCTGGAAGTGTCCGGAGAGCCTGTCCAGAGAAGATTGTTGTTAGAAACCAAAGATTTGGTTCTCAAAAGCTAGCCCACTTCTCTGACGATGCTTTGAGTTATCGTCACATCTATAGAGTACAGAATAACTGCACAAACACAAGTGAACGTGTACTAACAACATCCATAGTCTTCTGTGATCACTTTTTTTTCTCTATTCTTCTCTTTTTTCTCTGAAGATTATTTATGTTGCCCATCACATGCATCATGTATCCTGCAGCTGATCTTCTTTGTCTTGCTAGAGTTGCGTCAGAGATTTTACATAGCCTACGGCCTATAGAAAAGATTTCAGAAGATGGTGGACATTTCTTTTTCTTTTTTTCCTCTCACAGTTGGTATTCTTAGATCAGATCAATAGAACAGCGAGGCAGAGCTGATCAGAGGCAGAATACTTTGGGCAGCCACCATGGACCCTCCTTGGTTGAGAGAATAAGGACAGAGTAAGGACAAACTGTCTAAAGCAAGAGAGCAATTAGCTACACATCACGTATTCAGGAATCACTGAAATATTTGCGGTTTAAAATGCTCTTCTCTCGTATCTGTCCTTTGATTATCTCCCTCACTAGAACTCCTTCCTAATTCTTCAAATTGAGGTTGGTCTGATTGTTGGATATCTATCGAATAGCTCAAAGCTTTAACCAGAATGCACACACACACTGTTGGGCGAGTAAGAAGCTCTAACATTTTCAGTAAATCAATGCAAAGTGCTGCTGGGGTTTGGTGAGAAGATGACAAGCCAACTGGAGGGTCAAGGAAACTAAACTGGAGGATTATAGAGAACTGAAAGTAAACTGTGAAAAGAACAAATGAATTATGCATCTCATGGCAAAAACTGTGAGGTCCTGAGAAGGACAGAGATTAACCAAGTGTGAAAGTACACAGAAAAGAAGATAAGGAGGAAGAGACTGAAGGGAAACAGGTGTGGAGCCGAAAACCACAAACAGGGCAACTGGGGACAACTAGGAGTTCAAACAAAATTCCAACGAAAGACCTAAAACAAAGAGCAACCAAAGAACCACAAAGTAATGAAACCATTGAAAAGACCAAAAACTCCATAGTACAATTGCAAAGTTCTGATGACCCATTTGGAATTTAAACAAAACTTTGCATATAGTTGAACGGCATCTAACTTTTCAGTGTTAAACATGGGAATAAATGCCACCACAAAAACACATTTTTCAATGTATGTTTACCATTTTATCATGAAAATGGGAGAGCACAGGCAGGTTGATGCATTGACTTCATATTCAGCAGCTTCACAAACACGTGTGCGCACATACACACACGCACTCACACACACACACACACACGGTGAAGCCCATAATATAACTCATTACGCATGCCTGATTTGTGCTATGTCCCACATTATATAAAAAAAAAAGCTTTCAAGTCAGATCTGCATATCAGAATATCATTAACCACACGGGCAGTCTCATTTAAATTCTTTAACCCATAAACGCACACACACACACATATATGCAATCCCCGCCCACTTCTGGCTCTGCTGCACCGGTGATGAAAGGATACATGAGAGAGCACATCTGAGGAAAACCCAAAGTACATTAATCAACACCTTCCTCTCCCCACAGACAGCTCACACACACACGGAGACCCTACGATAACCAGGCGGCAGATAGTGTTTTGATAAAGCCTTAATAAATCATGCATCACACGCTAAAGTCGACTGTGATGACTGAATTTGAGATTAAAGGGTTTTCTTTTTCCGGGATCCTCTGACAATTAGACAGTCAGTGAGGGTTGATTATCTGTTCAGTTCACAAGGCCACAGAGGAAGAGACCGATAACAAACCCCCTGTTTTTCACAGGATGGCTGATTACTCAGGAGACAAGTGGAATCGGATATGAAAAACTCGATGGATAAAAACCGGGGGATAATAAAAGGGTTGGCTCTATGTCAAAAACACTTAGGCGGTAAAGGATTTTCTTTGATTAGACAGTCATTTCTAACAGCACACAACAAAGATGTCACGGTCATGTAAACTAGCGGTTATCAAGAAAAGCATAAACCTTTGATTTGACATCATAAACATTTGCAGCTTGGAGGATATCAAGGCTTATGTTATTTTTATGACAACCGCACCATAAAATTTCTCTTCCTCGTTTAAGAGAACCTGCAACCTTATCTGTGAGAGAGGGGAAATTAGGTGGGTGTAAATGTCCCTGATCCAAATAGGCTTCATCAAAAAAAGCCCTTGCACTAGGAAGATGCTGACCAAAGTTATAAGACAGCGTAAAACTTTTGGAGTATGTTGATGACTGGACACAAAAAAACATAGTCCATTAAATATTGATATTCTTCAGATATTTTAAGAGACTCTCAGCGTTGCATCACAGTATTTCATTGCAACTTCAATTCAAATTCCAGGTATAGTGACAATACCAAAACAGTGTCACCCTGAATAATTTATAAGAGGTTTGCTTGTTTGCTGAAAAAACAAAAACAAATCTAGGATAAAAATAGCTTGAAAATAAGCCAAATGTAAAAACTGTGTGAATACATCTGTGATATCAGAATCAGAAATACTTTATATTTGTAAAGAAAGGTGCAAAATGATACTGAATGCTAAAGGTTCTTAACTGAGCAGTACTGGGAGTCTTATGGATAATAGTAGATGGGAACAGATGGGGATAAGTGTCAGTCTTCTTTACTTTTGATATGAGAAATCTGAATTTGTGGACAATAATTTGACATTTTTTACTTATAGTGTCATCATTTCAGCCTCGAATATAGATATAAATATTGACCATAAAAATCTTTTTAGATCTGGAAAATTGGGCGTGCTATGCTCTTTTCTTATTTATATACTTTCATATTGAAGCACGTATAGATTGCTTTTGATTTCTACGGATAAATCCTCTCATCGGTGTTGAAAACCGATGCGTTTCTCCTCACTGCCTCTGATGTCCTCAGACCAGACAGCACGAACGTCCCCACGTTTGAAATTACTGACCCAGAAAGAGTGACGAGGGGGAGAGCCGCTTCTGCGGATAACCTAAAATCCAAACTACTTTTCAGACTGTTGTTCCGTCACAGGAGAATGAAAAGGACGAGATATGACTCAACAATCTGCAACAGGAAGTCCCTCACCCATCCACCACATGATGGTGGATTATTTATTACTCAGACTGCCATATATCAAGCAAACATGTCTCCAGACAGAGCAAGCTCATTCCACATTCTGGAGTCAGACAAATATATTTTAATATGAGAACGCAGCATCACATTGCCTGATGCAAACATAATAAAAAAACACCAAAGAAGAGAGACGAAATCATAACAAGTCACATGAGAAAAAAAAGCAGATTTGAGCTTTGTCATGGCAGAGGATTTGAAATATCATCCCCTTTTTCTTCATGTGTATCAGAGACTGTTGTTGTAATGATTGTGTTCCTCCCTTTCTAAAGATATCCCTGGGGGGGGGGCTTCTGTCAGACAATTCTTCCTGTTTAAAGGAGTTTTTTCTTTCCACATTCGCCCCGTGCACACTCAGGATCTGAGATTGGCTTGAAGAGAAGATTTAGCCAATCTGCTGGTTGGAACTGATTTTAAATGGCTCTGTATGAATCTGATGTTTTTGGAATTTAAAATGTAAATAGATTAATTGGATTTGGCTTGAATTAAAGTGTATTTCTGAAGTAACTACAGAAAACATGAGCTGGTCTACACAAATAAACTGAACTAGATTAAACTGAATTGAAAATTCCACCAGAACGTCCACATGCTCACACACTTTTCGGCCAGCTCCAAAGCAGTGACCTCCAATCTATTAATACAGTTTCATACTCAAGCCATTCTTATATAATATTGGATATCATAATGGATCTGTATTTTGGAATATGTTTTGAATTTCTTCTCACAAACTGCAGTTCCTGAACCTTGAACAACTCCTCATGCAAAACTATATTTGTGGTAATGCTCTTTATCCTCAGGTTACATTTACGAGAAATTCGAGAAATGAACAGTTTTCGGTTGCATTGAATTGAATTCATAATTTGAATTCTGAAAATGTCAAGCAATTAAATAATGCTTGAAGTTGCACTCGAATGCATTTCAGAGTCAGGTTAGGAGCGTTAGGGCCAGTTGGCAATAGAAATTACAGCTAATTGAATTTAAACAAACCATCAGGGAACTGTGTTGAGAAATCTGCCGTGTGACCACCAACATGTTCAGTTTGTCCCCAAACATGAAGCATTTATGTCACGTCTAGGGGAATCTCTGGTGTGTTGTCATGTCTTCTTGATTACCTATTGTGTACACCTGGGGTTCCCTTCCCTCATGTGTTTAAATAGTCCTCGATTCCCCTTCCTCGTCTTGTTCATGCCTCGTAAGAGAGATTTTGATTTTGCTTCGCTCAAGAGAGATTTTTATTTAATACTTTGTGCATAGTCTTGTTCACTTTATTTGATACTTTGTTCAAAGTCTGGTTAATCTTGTTTTGGTACTCTGGTCATCCATTACTTTTGAGTGTGTATTTTGTTAATTAAAAACCCTTTTGAACCTCTCCTCCGCAACTGAGTCCTCCCTGAGAGCCACTTCGTGACAATTTACACCCGATCATTAGAAACCCTCAGTAAAGTGCTCTGCCCTACATCAGTGTGTGTGTGTTTCAGGTTTCCACACCCAGTGAGATCTTCTCCCCAGAGTCTGCGGGCAGCAGGAAGACCAGCAGAGCCAGCGTGGAGATGAGGACACAGGGGATGAGCAGGTTGAGCCCGTAGTAGAGGGTCCTCCTGCGCATCACCACGGTGAAGGTGATATCCGGGTAGGGCTCCTCACAGCACTCGTAAAAGCGCTCGTTCTTTCTCCCCGGAACCTCTGAAAGACAAAACACCACCTCTTCTGATGACAAAACACGCGGGTTCGTATATCGGTGCGGTCTATAGGACACCGGTTCCCCCCTTTTTTTACCGACGAGGTCCCACTCCCCGTTCGCGATGTAGCCGGTGGTGTCTGCCTCCAGCATCTTCAGGTCCAGAGAAAAGCCCCCGTACGTCCAGGACCCGAACTTCAGCTCACATCTCTGGACGTCGAAGGGGAACCAGCGCACATCGATATGACAGGTGCTCTTAAAGATCCCTGTCGGGGGGGGGGGAGACGCACGGAAAGATGAACGACGACAATATCGGCCACAACTTTAAAACCACAGACGGGACAAGTGAAAAACATCGATCATCTCTCTCCCTCGCCCCGAGTCTTGGAGGGGTGTTTTATGCTCCTATGAAGAACCAATTTTGCTAATCCGGACGCGGAGGGGAAATTGATAAATGACATGCCTGTGCTGAACAATTGGAGCAGGAGTAGGGGATAGAAATATAGTCAGTGTTCCTTCCATCCCATCCAGAGCAAAAAATCCAATATGACAATGGGATGAAAGTGGGGGGTAATTCTTCAGGAGAGGCAGTGCCAAACTCATTTCCATCCTTATTTAAGAAAGGAATGAGATGTGGGCGGTAAACAAGGTCTCTCCTCTCACCCACGGCTGTGAAAATGATAAAGACGATGAAGAAATGAATGGAGATGAAGAGCAAACAAACAGAACGGCTCCCGGTTCCCGTTTACTGCTCCGTGACAAAGACATACGTCAGAATATTCAAATGACCGGTCAATTCAGGTCACATCTGCCTCCATTTTACGCATTTAATGCAGGGGCGTTGAGCTCATGAAGCATATACGAGTACTTTGTGGCGGTATGTGGTTTGATGAGGGCTCATTTGGAACGAGCAGAGGGGCAATTTGCTTTAGGTCCAGGCGATCAATCCAGAAGAACTTCGGTGATAGTGCTATTTATGTTGCTATTGATTAAAATGCTATGGGAGAGGAGGCCAGAGCTTTTGCATGGTAAGGGATAACAAAAAAAGGAAGAGGAGGCTGAATTCGGGAGCCATGACAGAAAAGCTTTCTTTGTTTTTCTGCATCCGTGAGCTGTGAGCATCATGTGGACTGATGACTTTACAGAAGCCTTGTAGTCACATGTAAACAACCACAGTGTGGACCAAGTTTGTAGTGGATTAGGACTGGATTTAGGTGTTGGGAGGACTTGATATTAACTTAATCTAACTGGGCTTAGACCCTAATAAACTCATGTCCGTTTTTTCCATAGATGTGAGTCACATCGGATTATTTCATAACTGCCTAAACACAACAATCCTTATCAATTATGATGTTCAAATACAGTTTTCTGCGGAGTCCAAGTTCCGATTTACATCCAGTGCAGGGCTATTTAACACAAACTGAGCATTGTCTCTATATAATCTCAGTCCTACAGCACTAGCAAAAGCAGTTAAACAGCAACAGTCGGCCATCTTGCTTTTTCTTGTCCATTTCAATCTTTTAATTTGAGCAAAATCATTTGTATGTGTCAGTCTGATATTTCAAATGACTCCACATATGGGTTGTTTCTGATGTTGTCTGTGAGCCTAAATTGAATAAATGTTTACAAGGCTGGCTGGACAATTAAATCCTCCCCAATAACCCAGCAAGGATGGAAACGTGGTTGAAAGCTCCAGATTGATGGAAGAAAAAATATGTTTCTGTAGTGCTTCTTTGTGTTGTTTTAACGCAAAGTACACCACAAACATTTAATTCTGTTGTCAGGAAATTGTGTCAATCCTAATGTGAAGAGAATAACTCCAATCCTAAAAAGTGACGGTTCAGTGTAACAACAAACTTTAGATTTAAATTCTTACCTGGAGGTAAGTAGGAACAGGATCCGGAGGAGTTGACCAAGATGTTGGTGTGGAACGTTGCGTCAAACCTTTCATCTGCACTGAACACAACGGTTTAATTAGCACTCGCTGCAGAGCTGTCTCTAACCTTTGTTTCAAAGGCCAATTCTTCTCCAAAACAGAGACACATCGCAACTCAGAGAAGATGCAGCTCTGATGATGTTTATTTAATGATGCTAGCCTCATTCTCCCATGCTACCTGCATGCTACCTCCTCTGAGTGAATTCCCCTGAGACCTGGGCAGGGTGGAGCTCATTTTGAGAATAATAATAAATATTTCTTTTAGAATCTGAAATCAGGGATTTTCTGGGTGGGACAGTGACAAATGAAGCACACTGCCCTTCCTCTCATTAGGGGATTGGAGAGTGGAGTGCCTTTAATGTGGTTTGTTCAGAACCTTTAAAGATTGATTAATGCTGATATCCGTGGCACTTTCCATTAGGGACATATAACAAAAGCACTTTCTTCCATCTTTTTTATGGAAGTTTATTCATTTGTCCAAATGATTTATTGCTCCAGAGGATATGGACTGTGCTGCATAAATATGAGAACAGAGCCTGGTTAACCTTGAAATGTGATGTCTTTGTCTAAATAAGGGCTTACCTAACCGACTCGTCATTAAGGTAGAAAATGACTCAATTTATGTCAGGTCTTATTAGCCTTTAACTCTTTTAAGAAAAGCAATTAATATTAAGCAAACTGATTCTTTAGACAAAAAATGCTTACACGTGCCGGATAGCGGCGTCTGAAATATAAGTTATGTAAGTTAAGTTGAAAAAAAAAAAGAAATATAAGTTATGATAAGGGACATGGATCATTTTAAAATAAACTAAGCCTCCATACCCCACCACTGGATATATCAATTTGAAATTTTGCAGATGAGGAATAAAAACTTTGCAAAAATAGTTTAGACTGTTGTTATATTTGAAATTCAATGCCAAAAAGTAAACCAAAACTATCGATATTTATGTCGTGTAGGAGTGAAGGGAGAAGCTGCATAACCAGCAAAAATAATATTGTCATATCATAAAAGGTACATGCTTTGTGTAAGGAAACTAAATTTGTTTGGTGGCGTTTATCTGTCATTTTTGTTTGAGTCTCAGCTACATGTTTTAAATAAGTCCAGCAAAAACATGAAGTTTGTTTCTGTTCCAACTTCAAGAACGAAGAGCAGGAGCCTGAATAGAGCCTGACAGGCAGACACCTCAATATGTTTGCCTTATTCAACAGGATTTATATTATGGATTTCTTTTGTCACAACGTTCCGTCAAAGGTATTTTTACAGTGTGGAAAACATCTATGCATCCATGTAAAGCTCTTGTTCAGCAGAAATGAACATTTCTTGCTCTGACTCACTTTAAACAAAACAGACGCTGTTACCCAAAATACATTCTAGATATGTATGATAATTTATTCTCCACATACTTCCACCTCTACTTTTATACAAGAAATGGAAAGTTCTTGTCACCTTAGAGTCACATCTAATATCTGTGAAGAGGTTCTTTATGAACAATTACAGTACTGAATTGATAATGATGCTAAATGATAGCATGCTAGAAAAAGCTAGACCCTTCTAACCTTTGCACTATTTCATAGAGATTTTAGGGGTCTTACACTGTGCTATTGCTCTAAGATCTAAATATGTCAACTTGGCTCCAGGATGTCTGGAAAAAACTTTAAATAAGAAACATATGTTAAAACAAGGAACCCGAAGGCAGATGTTTTATTTTTCACTGACTTCTCTGTTCTATGTCTGACATCTTAAGAATGGAGGCTGTATTTAAGAATACTCTGCACCAAAGATGAGAGCCTCTGGCCTCATTGATTCCAGTTCCCTTGTGACTTTTTTTAGCCCTGCAAGAATCAGAATGTCTAATAAAGGCACTGATTAAAAATTAGACAGACTTTCCCAAACAGCAACAGGTCCAGAAACTTTCCATTACTTTATAAAAGCCACCAGGACGTGATTTTATTACCACACATTGTACCTTAAGTTTCATTTGACTAAAATCCTATAATCTGCTGTTGCTTGTCTCTGTATTCAGTTTTTGGAGAGGGTTTTCATCCAAAGAAATCCACAATTTAATCAAAAAGGAGAGTACAACATATTGCAAATTCCCTAAAAGGAAAAATATCTCCAAAAGATCCAGGAATTCAGAGGCCAAAAGCAAAACTCTAAGAAAAGAGGCCCCTTCAAAATGTGTGGTGTTTGAATCTCAAAACTTTCATCATTTTTTTGTGTTAAATTTACAAATAATTCATATCTAAGTTCATTTTCAAGTCACTGAGTGCTGAAGTCAATCAAGCTTTTATCTCTGCAACAACATTTTTCTCATTGTGAAATATATAAATGCCCTTACATCTCTGGCTCATGCCACTTGAAACTGAATATTATAGTGGGATGAATCTTGCACAAGCTGCTAACACAAGGCAGCAAAACAAAGGCTTTCTTTTTCAGAAGAGTCTTGTCTCTATTGTTTAAAGTTCCACAGCGGGGGAAAAAAAATGAAACGGCTTAAGTTCATCTCTGCTGCACAAAAAAAAAAAAAAAAATCCTCCGTCTGAGATCCCTCCGGCAAATAACGCTGAGTCTAATGCGAGTCACAGAGCAACAAGCAGCACATTGGTCCCTTTAAATGCCTACCTGTTGTAGAGGAGGATGTCTGGCTTCCAGATGAGATGATCAGGAAACCTCACGTTGGTCACACCCGGATAATCCAGTGGATTCCACTGGAGATAATGGTCATTCCAGTACTGCGGCAAAAAAAAATCGTTTTGTGTTTGCATATAAACATCTTAAAAATTCTCTGTGTCGGGCTCCACTTTTAAACAGCCAGGGATTTAGCCCAGCTTTTGATGTTGCAGTGGCAGTTTCTAAAACAGGAAAAGATGCAAGTCTAAATCCATGCAGTCACAAGCTACCGGAGTTCAGTTTAATCTCTGAACTTCAGCAGCATGTGGGGGACACAACATTCGTCATAATATCAGCATCTTAATTTTCTTTAAATAATAATCGAAAACAAACCCTTTGCATTCATTTACACAACTTTACTCAGAGCCAAAATCTAGCCACTTCCTTCTAATTTTTTAGAAACGGTTAGTAACATAGACCAGGTCGGACTGAAAATAGTCCTGATCTCTTTAATTTGATCTAATCTTATTTTATCCGGATCTCCCTTTACTTGCATGGCTTTCTACCACGACTCACTTATGTCTCTAGCGTGAAAATGACAGATTCTTGAATTAGCTGTAACAATACGTTTAGCCTTACGTGAGGCTGTAAGTCATGGAGGAATTCTGTTGTGGTACAAACTTAACCCCATAACGCCAAATGTATCATATTTGATACGGTTTCTGAAATCTTTTGGATCTGAGACTTTTTGCATCATTCAGTGGTAAAAGCTTTGCTCAAACCCCTGTTGTACACATTCAGATATACCTGATAAGAGCCAGTAGAAGACTACACCAAAATATAGATTTCACTTATAGCATGCTAATTTGATCAAAATAATTTAGTTTTTTTTTCTTCATATGTTGTTGTGGGGCCAAAGAAAGACTTCAGACTAAAAAAAATCCAATATTCTTCCTATTTTTATTGGATCAGGCTTTAAAGGGTTAATTGACTGATTTTAATATATTATATATTCTTTGTAAAGGCATTTTGATAACCTTAGCAGCCTAAACTATAACAATAGATATATTTATTTTACTTTCTTAGACTCACTATGGCCGAGAGTGTTAATAAGTAATGCCATGTTCTCATTTTTACTTGCAGATTTACTTCCCGTGTAAATCAAATTTTACTAGTTAATGCCCAATCTCTTGATTTTCATTTGATCTGTAAACAGTCACAGCCCCTGAATTCAGCTGTCCTGCTTTTCCAATATTATTCACTGAACATCTTTTTACTAAACAGTAAATAACTTGCACTACTGGGATAGGCTCCAGTCCCCCCGTGACCCCATTTGGGAATAAGCAGTTCATAAAATGGATGGATAGATGGATAAATAACCTGCCTGTATATTATATGGTTTAATTAGGCTTCCCCTCTCCCTGGTTGAACGGGGTTGTAAAAATGAACAAGAGCCACATTGGCACATTTAGTGAAAGGGTAAAAATAAAACAACACTTTTAAGGTGATTTCAAAAAGTCCTCTGGACCTGACAGCTGCAAAAAGTGAATTAACAACCATCAGGAACAGCCGGTTTCAGGTTTGCCTCAGTAACACATCAGCGAACGCACAAATGTAATGTTTGAAGTTAAGTCACCTTCCACTAAAAGGAACAAAGACGATTGGCTCGGTGTTATCTGGAAGAGATCCTGACTTTTTGTCCTCATTAGCTTTGGCTTGTTTAGTGCAAGCAAGCCTTGCCTAAACAATTTGGATTGTTAAACTCTGCTCCTTTTCGCCTGCGTTTTTGATCTCTGCATCAATTACTTCTGTTGACCAAGAACCTGAGTTGGACCTTTTGGTCAAACAGTCAAATATGAAACTTACAGAATAGTTTACAGTATGGTTTATGTGCAGATGTGTGGAAGTGAAAGCTTTGTGTGCCATCATGCTCAATGCAGAGAATGAGACAGAGCTTTGATTAAAAGGCTTTTCACGAGAACTTTTCTAATCAAATCCATAATTCAGTTTTAATTAACTCACATCTGCATGCTCTAACAACGGCTCTCAGCAGCAGGGAGAACTACAAAGGTCGGTCTTTAATAAAAAGCTGAATAAAACACACAAAAGAGGGGGGGGTTTCCTGTGCAGCATTATGGTCTCTCGCTTCCAGAAACAAGAATCTGACTCTGTAATCCTAATATTTCCGTCTACTGAAAACCAAAACTAAAACCCAACACAACAGCTTGGGAGGAGTGTGAAGGCATTTTTTTTTTTTCTAGCTGAAAATGAGTCGCCTATTGAGCCTTTTCAAAGAGACTCGCACACTAAGATCGTCTTCCGGACATAAAACTTCTTTTCTTGGGTTTCACACACAGAGCCAATGAGTGCTGGATCAGTGCAAACAGATGGTGGACCTTGTGGGGGCCTCTGAGTTTATGTGTGTGAGTTTATGTGTGTGTGTGTGAGTTTATGTGTGTGTGTGTGTGTGTGTGTGGAAGTCTTCCGCTGTGATTTCACTGGGTGATTTAAAACAGGCCAAACAGCCTTGGTGGAGCTTGCTGACGACGCAGCCGCAGGGAGCAAGTGTCAGAAAACGGACAAGCGGCAATAAAGCATCCATGTTCACACACTTCATCTCCCTGAGAGCAGGGGAGAAGGGTGTGTGGCTCCTGAGGAGGATGAGGAGGCAAAAGGCAAAAGGCTGGTGGGATTTCTGCAGTGAGGGAAATGTATTCCTGACACACAGCTTCCTAATCTCCCACACACACCGCTTTAGTTCAGTCTCTGAGATGGAACTGTAAATGCGGGTATTTGTGGATGTGTTTAATGTTGTTTAATGGACGCTGGCAGATGTGGAAAAGAACTGAATCCTTTGTTAGTATTAAGTGGAAAAAGCCGGCCAAAAGTCCAGAAAAACTGAGCAAGTGCAGCTTGCCCAGTTTATAGTCAGACTTTCCAAAAGAAAAATAATGGATTTATTCTTAACCCTGTAATGCCAAATGTATCATATTTGATACATACGGTTTCTGAAATGTTTTGCGTCTGGCACCTTTTTCATAATTTAATGGAAAAACTTTGCTAAAAATCCTATTGTACACAATCAGATACACCTGATAACAGGGGGCAGAAGACTACACGACTTATCACATAGTAATAAATTATCAATATTAAAAATGTATTTCTGTTTTTTTTAACATATTTTGCTAAAAGGCCAAATAAAGACTTCAAACCAAAAAATTCGGATCTTGGATCAGGCTTTAAAGGGTTAAAACGTACGTGTTTGGCTGAAATCATAAAGTTATGCGGCTTATCTTTTCTGAGACTTTGCATAAATTATAGAAGAAACGGGCTTACCAGCTGCAGCCAGATGTTGGTGGTTAAAACCTGGTTCTTTTCATCCTGAAAGAAAAAAAAAACTATTATTCAGGATTAATTTCTTTAAAAAGAAACTGTGTAAACAACCACAGTCACATCAGCTGCCGTCGCCGTGGCGACAGGGACTTTGTAGGTACTTTTGAATCACTTTCTTTCTGGCTAACGACTCAAAAACAACAAGAAACCAAGACCATTCTGAATACTTAAAGAAATTTTCCAGGATGAACTGTAACCGGAGCAGAAACAGAGCAGATGCCGCTGGGTCCAGCTGCTGTGTGAGAAGTCCGTGGGTCTCTGAGAGTTCATGAGAAGCGATTATTCACGCACCACGTCCATGATCTGCATGAGGCTGAGCCCAAAGTGAACCGTGAGGCTCTGGGAGTCGTTGTAAACGGGTCTCTCCAGCGGGTTGTAGGCTCTCATCAGGTCGTTGTAGAGCCGGCGCTGGTTCGGCCCCTGGAACGAGACTACAACACACAGAAAAACCTCCAGTTAATCATCCACAACGCACACAAATGTCCCGATCATAACTCCGTCTTTGGACAAACACAGTTTTGTGACTCTTTGGTCAGCTTATCCTGCCTTAAGCGACCCGTTTTCACTTTTTATTCAAAGAAAAATGATACAATTAATTGATTTTTCAAACTGAAACTCACTGGCTTTGGCTCATTTTCTATGAAGAACATATATCAGAATACATCATTAATGACCACACACCGTACACATTTCTGTTACATATAAGATGTTCGCTGGCTGAGTAACAACAATATGAACATTACACAAGGGGTTAAAATCTTGAATAAGGTCTCTTTCTGGTCGTAGACAGATCAGGGAGCGTTAAATGGCCTTTCTGAACTGGCATGCTGTCACGTCTGGGGGAATTTCTGGTGTCTCGTCATGTGTTGATTACCTATTGTGTTCACCTGGGGTTCCCCTCCCTCATGTGTGTAAATAGTCCTCGTTTCCCATGTCCTGTCTCAGTTCGTTTGCGTCTTTCGTTTCCCCACGTCATGTAAGGTTTTTATTATTTCCCATAGCCATGTTTTGCCACAGCCTTGCCACAGTTTTGTTAATCTTCATTTTGTTACTTTGCCATAGCCTTGTTTGACCACAGCCGTGTTAATCTCGTTTGTACTTTTGCCACAGTCTTGTTTTGATACTTTGCCACAGTTTTGTTATCCTTGCTTTGTTACTTTGCTCATAGTTTTGCCACAGCCCTGTTTTTTAACCTGTTTTTTGTTACAATAAACCCTGTTTTCTGCATCTCCGCGCCTGAGTCCTCCATCAAGGTCCTCCTTCCCTGACACATGTTAGTAAAGATGAGTGGCGGTAATTTGAATAGAACTGGCACAAAGCACACACACAATGCTAAAACTGGATAGTTTCACACACAGGAACGTGAAAGAGCAGATTTCTCAGGGTCCAAATGAACAGGATCAAAATGAGGGCAAATAAGAACAGAAGCATGATGTGAAAACAGCCCTCCTTTTACCAAATTCACCAAGTTAATTTTTTGATAAAGAGCTTTTTGTTAGTAAATGCAAGAGCTGCCATAAGCGATAATAACAACAGTGAAACTCAAACTTTATCAACTGCAAATAGAAAGAGGAAGAAGTCACATTATGGAGTCCTTCAATTCCAAATATCACCGTCTCCGTGTTTAACAGTTTGATATCTTTATCTCTGTTTGACAAATGGTGTCTCTATTTCAACGGGCGGCATTTTTTGTTGGTTTCTCTTTTCAAGTCATATTTGTATTCCAGTTGGGTTTTGGCTGTGGAGCTTTTGTGCATCCTCTTTGTTTCCTTTTGTGTTTTCTGCTCAGATGATTCCTCCTCTGGCTGCCGTCCCCTCCGGGATCTCCGACTCTGATTACCACACCTGCTCCTTGTTTGTTTTCGTCCCCCTCAGTATATATATGCTCCAGGTCGTCCTTTCTTCTGTTCCAGACCATTATCAAGCCATTTCAATGCATAGTTTTTTGTTGTTTCTATGCTTAGTTATTCTTTTTTTATTGCAGTCAGTCCCCTGCATTTTGGTCCTCAAACTCATGTCTGGTGACACGTGTACACACTTATTTATACTCTCTGAAAAGATGATAGATGACTGTAAATTAATCAACTAAAATTAAAAACTATTCTAAATTAGTTAAAAAAGTATTTTCTTTGGCATTTCAGGGCCTGGTTTTGCATAGCCTGGTTTTAAACTGGTCGTGGTTGTACTTTAATTGGTGGAAACTGTAACTTTCTTTGTCTTTCTTTGCTACAATAACACGCCTTCAGTTTATTCATTCACTTAAATACACAATATCGATTTAAATTTAGTTGTTTTTGCTGGTGGACTGGTTCTGTCTAAAGGATCTTCCCCCCTTTTAGGTTAGTTTGTTACTCTTTGCTCTTCCTTTTTCACCCCCCCTCCTGTCAGGTTTGGTATTATTGGATATGTGTACATTTTTGCAACAAAAATAAATAAATAAAACAGTATTGGATAATCAAGCCTCCCTTGGCAAAGCAAATGTGTTAGCATGGTTCTCAGATTTAAGTGCTGCTGCCATAATTCTGAACAGGTTAAAAAAAGAAAAAACAACATTGATTTTTACTTGTATTTAATAATGTGGTGTTGATATTGTTTGGATAATTTATTATTATAAATTAATGCATTCACAAAGCCCACATACTTTTTTAACAGTTATTTGAAGCTTTTTTTTTCAGCAAACAACGAATTTATGACTGAAACCGGTAACTTCATTCCAGCTGTAGATTTTAAACATTTACACTAATACATCTTGTGACAGAATTAGTGGGATTTCCTACTAAACCAATGATTAGCCGAATCCCTACAGCTCAGTTTAATGGAAGCCCGCCAACACAGGATACCTAAAAAATTAACATTCTTTATGATCATTCATTCATTCTGAATTTTTTTTTATGCAGTATTCGATTTAAATGAAAATTAAAAAACTATTTTCAAAGGTCCTGCGACCACATTAGGGAATAAGCGGTAACGATAATGGATGGATGGATGGATTTTCAAAGGTGCAAATGTTAAATGTTATTAGATATAAAATGTAAATACATTGAATATTCCATCATCTTTAGAACTTTAAATCAAAAGCTCATCTGGAGACATCTTTCAACAGTAAAATCCCTGCTGGATGTCCATTATCTTTAGGCCCCTCAGGCAGCATTTATGGACTCATTTCCATTTCCATTAATCATTATCTGTGAATAAAGATCATTGTGCTATCCACAAATGCAGGTAAAAGCTCTACTATGCAAATAAGTAAACATGAGCATTAACCTAAAATAGTGCCATCTTCTCTGAGGCCTCCTAAGCTGATTTAAACCTGACAGATGCAGCGTGGAGAATTGTTTTGATTTCAAAGGAATCGAAACTTGAAATTCATTTTGGAAATAAAGGACACACAAAGTGTTAGAAACCCTGACTTCTAAAGACTTCTTTTCTGCTGTCAATGGCTCTTCTGGAAAGGTTCAGCTTTTAGAGCAGATCAGACTTGGCTTTTTTTTTAAAGATCCAGCCTGTGAATGAAAAACTTTCTTTCTTGTTTTTAAGTGCATTCTCCTATAATTGCCATATTAGTTTAGACAGTCAAATCTGATGTTTATCTTTTCTCTTTGGCCCTACTCACTCCTTTAGTGCTGCTTGAGGTTTCCTTTGATGGTTTTCCCTCTCACCTGCTGCTCAGCGTTGGGCTTGATTTATCATTATTATTTCTGCTTCATTTGTCAGGCTGTAGTGGACCAATCAGCGTAATGGTGCAATATCAAGAGATAAAGAAACAGAATTTTCTAGGTTTTTGGTTTGTTTTCCTTCCAAAACAAAATCCTGAGTATGCAAATCATTTGCTGGTCGTAATTACTTCCATTAAAACAAAATCATAAAAAAGCATACACATACTGTAGTTGCCATGAAACATGAGTTTCCAATTAGCTAATTTTGACATTTTTATATTGAGCTCAGTCATTAAATCTGAGCAAACTCCCTCTGGATGAAGTATGATGTAATGAACACATAATCATACTGAAAGCAAAATTCAGGAAAAGAACAGCCGTGCAAGAAATGAAAAGAGAAGCTCAGTCTTAACATAAACGTCATCTGAAATAACTTTGGTGCACATGGAACAAATCCAGAGCTCAGCAGAAATAAAAGAGAAACTCAAGACGGATATCTCCAACAACGTCTAAGGTGGTGAAACAAATGCAGCCCAGAAACGTCAATTATCCAAACACAAAGCGTGGACGTGACTCATCCCACCGTACGATTTCAAATCAGAACTGATCCTCACTTCATCGCGCACTCAACTCCTCGCTTGAGTTATGGAGTGTTTTTGGCAGCATCCGTCCTCCTCGCTAATGGCCACAGTCCGGTTATCCAAATCCACCTATGAGAAGCGCATTATCCTGATGATCT